GCTTGGTTATTGCATAAAACCATTGCGTATAAGACTTAAAAGTGGTTATGAAACCCTTTGTCTGGGCCTCCTCCAACCCGATTAGGGAGAGGACTCCAGGGGGCACTCTGGGTGAACCCTGTATATTCCACCTGAAAACTACCTCACTTGCTCATATCAGGGTCAGGTTAGTCCAGCAACTTGCACCTCTAGAGTTTTATTTTCTCCTGTCTCACTTTTGATAGATAATATGTATTTACTGCTTACTACCTTTTAAGAAGTTATGGGGGTTTTTCCTTCTGTCTCTGTTATCAAGACAGGAAGATAGCTTAGTCCTTGTCATCTTGTTTAGAAATACAGAATTCATTCTTGTAAAGACTGGATATAAAAAATATTGGTGATTTTTCTTGGTCATGTTAAGATCTGTAAAACATGTAATGACTGACTCTCCTTCTCCCTTTCTCAAACGCACAGGCCAGATTAACACTTACTGCCAGAACATCAAGGAGTTCACTGCCCAGAATCTGGGGAAACTCTTCATGGCCCAGGCACTCCAGGAGTATAACAACTGAGGGGCAGTTCCCGGGTCAGGGTCACCACGGACTCCGAGACCACCGTGGGAGGAACTCTCTGCATAGGGAAAAGCACAGTGGATTCCTTTGATATTATTGACTTTTCGGCTGTAATACTGTCTGTGAAGCCAAAAATAAAATAAAACCAATTCTTGTTCATTGGTTTTAGGCGTATTTCACTTAGCTTCTTGTTATTTGTTTTACCTATTCCCTGCTGCTTATTCTGTACCATCAAGTCAGAACTGACCCATGGCTGACCCTCTGGCCGGTTAATCACACGGCAGGAGATTGCTGGTCCTTCTCCCCTAGAGCAGCTGGTGGATTAGAACCACATGCCTCCAGGATTGTAGTGCATCTTCTTGCCACTAGACCACCAGTGCTTCCTAGTATATGTCCTAATTTTAAACTAGGATTTGACCAGAAGTCTCACTAGATTCTGACATCCACACCCTGCCTTTGAGTTGCCACATTTCAACCACTCGATCCAGTGCTACTTGCCTGACTCTGACCCAGAGCTCTGACCCCAACTATAAATCCTTCCGCCATCCTTGCTCCAGGTGAACATCTCACTGCCAGCCCAGGCGGATGGAGTTACCCAGGAGCCTTGTCTCCGTTGCCTGGATTTGCTTACCTTCCCATTGGAATTGCTTCCTCTAGGTCCACCTTTTCACGTCTTCAGGTGATGACCAGCCTTTTGGTGACTCACAAGCCAGCAGACATAAGCCCTTTAAAACATAATTTCACCAAAGTACCGTCATATGTTTGAAAATAAATTCACTCTTTCCATAGTTTTATTTTCACTTGTGGTTTAGTGTTACTGTTCCGTACCGTGCAGTACTCTTTTGGTAACCGTGATTGTTTGAAGTGGAAGAGGATGGATTGGAAAATCAGTAATGTTATTGGAAAAATATTTTTTATAATTGAAAGTTTTAAAAAATACGATGTTGTTAGATGCTGTCAAGTCAGTCACCTGCAACTCATAGGGACCCTATGTACAACAGCTCTGAAGCCTGCCCTGGCCTGAGCCAGTCTCACTGATTCTGACACACCTACCCCAATTG